GGCTCCTAATAGGTTCAACCAGTGATCCAAGTCTGAGGTGCTAGTCAATTGAGATAGGTGTCCCCCAGGAAACAGCACACAACTGGTACATGATGCACCAGGTGCAGTGTTAGTCAATTACTGCTCTCTTGCTCAAACACCAACTTCTGCGCTTTCCATTTACATCACAAAATAGACAAAATTTCCAGGTACGCGCAGCACCATGTTTCGCGATTAAGAACGAGACAACAAAACGTCCTGTGATTGATGAGGCCTTATTTACTTAGTAAATAAGCGGGCTTATGAATACATCTCTTTTAATCCAATAAATATATTGCTCTTGATGAATACTACTTACTCGAATGCGAGTTGGTAACAACATGGTGACTTACAGCACTTTCATTAAGTTAACAATTTTGTTCTTCATTCAAAATTCCTAAATCTTTTTTTATAATTTCAATGAATTAAGTTGTTACTGAGATTTAATAACTGGTCTGCAGCCATATCACCCTGCACCTCCCAACCGGCAACCCAGTGCCTGGATGGGAGACCTGGGCAAAACTAAGGTTTCTGTTGGAGGTGGTGTTAGTGGGCTAGTAGGGGGCGCTCACCCTGAGGTCTGTGTGGGTCCTTATGCCCCAGTGTAATGATGGGGACCCTATAATGTAAAAAAACACTGTACTTTGGATGAGATGTAAAACCGAGGTCCTGACTCTTTGTGGTCATCACAAATCCCAGGGTGTTTCTCAAAAAGTGTAGGGGTATCCTGGGTAAATTTTCCACTGGCCCTTACCAACCATGGCCTCGTAATTTTCTCCATCTATGTATTGGTTTCTTCACTCTGTTCTCCTCTGTACTGACAGCTGATGTGAGGTGAGTGTACTGGCGCACTATGGCTATCGTTACATCATCCAGGTGGAGGAGGGGAGTCCCCATAACCTGTAAAGTGCTTTGAGTGGAGTGTCCAGATGCTAAATGCTACAGTGTATATACTGAACTGTATGTTTAACTAATTCATTATTATTAGCATTATTATCAGATTAAACAGAAGAGAGGGATGTGTTATTTAAAGACACCTTGATAGGGATTCCAACTTCTAAACAATTTTAAAAAGAACTGGAATAAGAAGGTATAAACTGGTTAAATCTTAAAAAGATTTGAAAGTTTTAATTTTTCTAAGGACATTTGTTGTGGTCAGAACTACAACACAGTGTAATGTAACCAAAGGGGAAAAAAAATTCTAGTCAGAATTTACCATTATATATAATTGAGATAAAAATAACAAACTTAAAGCAGACATTAGGTTAGGAAAAGAGTCTCAAACATCCCTGCTCTGTGCTTCAAGAAAGAATACTAAAAGATCAAAGTGCCCTTTCTCATTAAAGAAAAAAAAACATTAAAAATGTTATTAAGGCAACTGACTCTTTTTGTAGATTGTAAAAATTCCAGTTTTAAATTTACATTCTAGATAATTGTCAAACCTTTTAAAAGTTAATCACATTGATTCTTGATAAGCTTTTTGACTAAAAACATGTACAGTAATTTATTTTAAAAAGTCATTAATTACTGAGTACGTTTGTGTCATTACTGGACTACCTTCCTAGGTTTTAGGTTTTTCTGAATTTACCTTAGAGGTTTAGAAATAAGCATTCACCTGCAATTATCCCACTAGTAAGATGACAACTGAATTACCAGATTTGGGTATCTGGAATCACCATTTATGTTTTTAATTATAAGTCTACAAATAAATTACAAAGTATATATATTTAAATATTTACCTCCCTATGGCTTGACATTGCCAATTGTGTATTAGGGGAATATTGCTATAAGCCTTTGACCATCCAGGGAGAACAGAAACCTGTCCATTTAATCCTGTCGCACTTTCACCGAGTCAAGCCTGTGTCAAGAGCACAGTATCTCATACAAGGGAGTCACTGATGTCACTACAAGGTCACAGGAAGTTGAAAAAATGCAAAAGCTGGTGTTGCATTAAAAATCATCACTTGCTGATTAAAGCCCACCAAGACCCAGCAGATCCTGGCTGATTCTGCAGCAATACTTGAGGATTCTTAGCCACAGTTGGGCACAGATTCAGACTCATGCTTCGAAGAAAATACCAATGATTTATAAAACTTATGCATACCATACAGCCACCATGATGTCAACCTTTCTCTGGAAAAACTGTGTTGTGCAGTTCTTTCCCATCCAGAATGCTCTATTAACCAGCATCTGTCATTAACAAAAGATTCGATAGCCTCCCAGTAGCTAGCTGCGTGCTTCTCAAAGATCTGTTTCTTCAGCCTTCAGAATGCTGAAGAGTTGCTAGTTGCAGTCTCAATTGTAAACATCTGCTATCCGCAATTATAATAGCATATGATAGCAACAAACAGGAACAGTTTTATGCAGGAATTCAGTGTCAGCTTGTCTATAATAAAGGTGCAGAAGGCAGAGTGACTTTAGTCTGTGAGGCAATCTGAAATAAATAGCCAGTGTGACTCCCAGATAACCACATTTTTGATTAACCAGCACTCCCTGTTTGCCATGGATTCCAGATAAAGTTTTTACAGTTGTAATGATACTTAGTGAATAATAAAACTTAGGACAGCTCTAAAAACTACTGTAAAGTATTAGGTGACTGTCAGAAATTATACATAACATAAGAGCACCTTTCAATATTTAAAATTACTCAAAACAAATCTGTTCATAAAATCAAACTCTACTAGATGGGACAGCACATGAATGCTTTAAAATATACAGTTATGCAGCAAAAGAATGTTTTCCACATTCTGCAGAAATGTTATTTGTATTGAATATTGTATTATCCAAGCTATGAAACTTGATTATTACTTGTTTTGATTCTTCATTGCTTAGCAAAGTAACAGCTGTTGAAAGGTCATTTCAAAATTAAATGAGAGGAAGTGACAGGAAGAGATAAAAAATGCAACACGTGTCTCACTGATGTACTGGTGTGAGTGGTCAGTCCTTTATCAATGCATGTACAGTATGTAGTGCTAATTTGCTTCCCTGGCTATTTTCCAGCAATCTGATTTGAGAATATCAAGCTACGAGCTTCTGCCTGACTCCACCAAAGATGCTGCACTGTTTATATAGTTCAGACACGCTTGTCCTCACTCGGTGACAGAAGGAAAGGAGTAATGAGGATGTATTCTCTTTTGGCCTCTGTAAACCTAGCATTGCAGAGATATAACTTTTAGAAACAAACCGCAATTCGAGTTTTTAAATGAAAACATTTAACAGAGAAAACAAGAAGAGTTGAAAAACAAGATACAGATCTATTTTGGCAGCATATGAAATGTCATTATCTGAATATGGAAATGAAGCCTTTAATGCTGTTTAATTGTTTCTGAATCTTTTTGTAAGCTACACACACTAAAAATAACACTCAAATCCAATAATGAAACTCTATATCTATTTCTTTGTGTATTAACTATCCATATATTATTATACACTTCAAAAGGATGGTAAATGGAAAAAAGGACTATCTGAATAGACATGACAGATCACTAGATGATTACACACTCACACTAGACAGGAAATGCAATATTTTATACTCTTTGTCATTTAAAAAAGAAAATAATCAAGATCAAAGCTTTCTTTGATAAATATATTCAGCTTCTAAAGCCACAAATTCTTTAAAAGCAAAACAATAAAATGTAAAATAATAAGGAAAGAAAATCTGTAAATTATACATTAGATTTTTTTCTCCAAAATTAGGTCTTAAGATAGATTTATAGGCAGCAAACAAAGCATTTTATTTCACCTTTTTATGAACAGAACCCTCACCCAACCTAACATTTTTGGAAATAATTTCTAGTTTAAGACTAGGCTACTCACTTAAAATCTTATTCTAGTAGCAAAAACTTCATGTCACTGAATGTCCAAGAAAAATTGGAAAATGCTGAGATTAGCCCTTTTCAGTATTTTGATCTCTGCCAAATTTTTGACTGGAATAACGGCTGTAGCCATCATGTGAACAAGTCACATGACCTGACTGCTACAAAAAAATAAAAATGTCAGGGATTAAACTCTGAGATTAGCCAAATAACTCACAAATGACCTAGAAAGTTGCCTCACACAACTAAGGCTTAAAACACACCAGACACTATCCTTCCAGAAGTCTAAAACAAAACATCCACTTTGATAAAGTTGGGGGTTGTATTTATTTGTATTGCATTGCTATGCTAAAGCTAAATTTCTCTGAGTCAAATTCTCATATCGACCAACAGGTTTATCATGATCGTCTTTTTAATGAGTCTTGTGGTGGACAGGTGAAGCTACAACTGGGCAGATGTGTCTGATTGAAAACCCTATTCTATATTTATTGGTCAAAACCCAGAGGTAGTGCCACTGTGTGATCTTCCCATAAGACTTCTAGGCATGTTGGAAAGGTTTCCTTCTTCACAAAAATGTTGCCCTGTCAAACCTCTCACTGGAACACAAGAAAAAGTCTTAAAACATTGCTCTACCAAAATAATTTAGAATAGTATGGTTCATTAAAGCTAGTTAGCCTTTTTCAAAATAGTGTATACCCCATGGTTAACTGGTGTGTCCCATGGTTTCTGAGGCTTACTGAGTAGTAGTAGAAAAGGCTTCTTCCACAGAGTACTGTATCATGGGAAAGACACTGATGTAAATGAGCTCTTCATGGGCTGGATTTATAAGGGATATTGGAAGAAATGTACTTCTGTTGCAGCTGTAATTATCACTGGAGGTGAACCAACTCATTATTAAAGGTATTATAATACTGTAGCACATAACTGTTGAACACATGAACACAATTACACTGTGCGATGATTAAAAAAAATGGGTCTGCCCCAGTTTCTAACCATCATCCTGGACGTACAGTATATAGAAAACCTCCATGTTTTCATTGTGGCAAAGCACTCATTTACTTTATTGTACCAAAAACCAATGAGAAGAGTAGCAGATTCATTACACATGCAAAGCCTGAATGACAATGACTGTCCAGGACTGGAAATGGGACACAAGCTGCCAGTTACCTGAATCCACTTATCTGGGATGGCCATGGCAAGGCGATAATCAAAGCCTCCTCCTCCTTCAGTCACAGGACGGCACAGAGCGGGCATCCCAGACACATCCTGGAAAACATTTTTTTTTTTAATACTAGTGCTTATAATTTAGCTTACACCTGAATCCAATATGACTTCCATACAAAACTAACAGTGCAATCCAATATAGTACAATAAAAAAAATCAATGACTGATAACAGGCACAAAATTCAGTGTTCAGTCTGAGAAGGCAAATGAAGGGGGTCAGACGTGGTGCAGTCATGATGCTTCCAGGTATGCGGTTGCACCACAGGGGTAAAAATGGACAGAAGGAACACAGAGATTGAAGAGGAGAAAGAATTAAGAGCAGCAGAAGATGGGCAGACCGAATGAGAACGGAGTGTAATGAGCACTTATTACATGGAACAAGATGGAGTTACAGTAAGAGTGGAAAAGCTAATGTCAGCAGTGAGCAAAGACAGGCTTACAATGCAAGCAATGGATACAAGCAGAAACAGATTTGAAGAATAAGAAGTACAGATTTCAAAATTCACGCTCCCCATTCAGGGCAGACATTTTTCATATACATTAATGGCAATGTGCTGTAACAACCCGAAAACAATATCGGCTGCAAATGTATATATTTTTTAAATGCAAGTAGTTTATCTGTGCAACTATACTGACTTCCACTGTGAAATTAAAAAAATAAAATAATAATTGCTTACATATTTCATTCTAAATGGAAAATGTTAAGACATAGATATAAAACATTTACCACATTTACTACGACTATGGCAGCTTTTCAGTGGGTGACCAGAAGATGTTAGTAATGTACAAACTACCGCCATTAATATATAAGATGTTTATAATTTATGAATGCATACAGTCTAGGCATAGATCTGTCTTTCTAATAAGAACACTAAACACTAGTGTTGTATATTCCTTTAGGGTGTCTTTTAAAGTAGTTTAAACATTTAAATTACTAAAACTGTCAAGAAATGATAAATGGCTAGTGGAATTTGTGGATATTCTTCTACAGCTGCACTCCCCAATACATGTTTAACAGTGTTGAGAAAATGAAATAGAAACATGTTAATATGAACTTATCTCACACAAGCTTGACTTGCTAATATCTGTACATGTATTGAAAACATAGTATGAATCAAGACATGTGCACAGCAGTGTACACTGTTAAGCTACTACCTCCCTCATTTGAAGGCAGATGTTTAAAACTTAACAGATCAAAGCCTCTCATAACACTGTTTTAATGGGAGTATTTACATTTAAAACACACCACAATTACAATGAAGTTCAACTAAGAGCTTAGAGCCTACTAAAGGAGTCATAAAGAGGTCATGGTACAGATTCCAACATGGATTATAATTACCTGAAAATTAATTTATATAATTAGCTGAGATTATTTTGTTTTGGCTCACTATCTCAGCTCTGTCTCGGAGAGTAAAACCTCCAGGAAACCACGTAGACTAAATCAGACACTGTATGCTCAAGTTATTGAAAATATACAGTATGTAAGTTATAAGATGCATCATTTAACAATTAAATTAAACATTTAGTAACTTTGCTAGCTTGAAGTGCTTTCATCTGAAGTGCTTTCTTCATTGCTCTGTGGTGTGTAGTTTGTTTGCTACAGAGACTGTCAAATATGTACATACTGTACAGTACACAGAGAGGTAAATAAATGGTCAAAACAGAGAATGCGATGGATGGATAGATACATATGGGAAGACAGTGTCTTACATAGGTCAAATGGAAATAGGGCTAAAGTGCCAGGCATTTTTTGGAAAGCTTTGAAACTAAATATACATTGTCAGGCTTTCACAATGGGCTGTCATTTCTGCTACAAACTTGGACATAACAGAGAAACTTCAAAGTAAAAAAACCAAACAAACTAAAAAAGCAGTAAATGCAACAGAAGATATTTTGGTCACTGCTATGTTTTCCCGGGAGCACTTCTCTGCAGGAAAGGCACAGAGAGAAAAAAACAACAACATAAAGTTAAAATTTAAAAGTAACTCTGCAGCTCTGAAGTTATGTGAACACAAAACAGTTTGCAGCAGATTTGGGTGTTTCATAATTTGAGGGTCTCTTTCTTCCTTGTTAGAATATCTTAATCCTAAAGACCATAGAAAAACAATATACACCAAGTACTATTTGGAGTACTAAACCCTTAGGTTTAAAAGACATGCAGTCAGTAGCTAAAGATAACAATAAATAATTTAATTCATATACACATATACACTAAGTGCTTAAAATATAAAATTAAAATATAGAAGGGGACATACTTTATTGACCACTGTAGTGCAGCACCTATCTATACGTCAGACACAAAGCGTCAGCAGTCCCACTGTCAATCATGTCAGGTGAAGTAGTAAGAAACTGCTTCCCCAATTGAATTATAGGGGAATTTAAGGAAGCCTAGAGTGAAACTTAAGCAGGACAATCAAAGCACAGTGTCCCCAGTCACTATACTAGGTCATTTATTTGGGAAGTAGCAACTTGGCTAAGTGGTTTCTCATCCCAGGACTGAACAGGGACAACCTTTTGATGAGGGATTTGATGAGATCTGGCTACAGGGCAGTTATGCTGCCTACTGTAAATGATTAATAATGTAGTTGTGTCTACATAATAAACTGGTTTAATCAACTAGAATGAGCAGCAGGGATGAGGACACCCATTTTAGAGACAATAGCAAATGTCTCCACTTGGGAAAAAGAGCTGCTGCCATTGAGTAGTTTTCACTCGACTGAACACTGCTAGCACTTGATATGAAGGTACAGTATGTGGAAGTCTGTGCAGGAACAACTACAAACTCTAAACACAGCAACACCCAAAATTGACACAATGCTTACAGAGGTACTTGACTTAACTATCATAAAAAAATAAGCCATGGTAATGTTCACCTAATGTGTGTCAAATTTTTCTGTGTTATCTCTGAAAACATTACTAATTGCAAATAAAATCATTCTTTGTTTCCCCACAAGAATTACCTGCTCATGAGCATTACAAATTAAATTTGTACAACCCTCATGTACTGTTGAACCTTCCTCTTGTCTTGCACTGATTTTTTTCAGTGGAACGTCTGTGTGCTTTTTTCTGCCATGATACTGTAGTATCACTATTGTGCACAAAACAATTTTCATATTATTGAATCATGAATAAACTGGAAAAAAAAACTGGAAATTCTTACATGCTGCTAATCAGGATGAAATCTCCACTAATCTGCATGGACAAGATATGTGTGGTTTGATTTTCCATAATTTCATTTTATTTGCCTCAAAGATAAATACTGCTCACATTTCCATGCAGATAGCATTACAGAGAAGGTTCCTTTGAGTTTTTCTATAAAATGAGGGTTCAGTTCATTTTGATGCCTTGTTTAGCCCACCTCTCCTCTTAGTACAGGCAGATTCTTTCCATGAGATCCCTTTTATGGCATGGTGCTGACCTGAAGAGCGTTACGGCTATTAGAAAGATGGGAAGACAGGCATAGCAGGGGATATCCTGGGCAGACAAGCAGAGCAGGGGATGTGCTGAGCAGCCAAGCAGAACAGAGGGAAAGCTCTGCAGCCAAGCAGAACAGAGAGGTTACTGTAGAGTATGTGCCGTCAGCGGCTGTGCAGGAACAGGAAGCAGGCAGCTTTCTAGCTGGTGGTCAAGTCCTGGGTCAGATTTGGAATCAGATGCCTTGGACAGTTTCAGACAGAATGCAGGATAATTAACAAACAGGCTAGTTTGTGCGAGCAACAATTCCAAGGTACACAAGGGTGAAAAGGACTGATGAGATAATTACCCATTAAGCGGGGGAGGTGGAATGGACAGATGCCCCAACCTTGTTTTCACGGCACCGGCAGGTTTTTGAGTCCACGTGCGAACATGGCCGGTTGCTACAAAGACCGGAGACCATGGGCTGTGAGCTCTGTCTTGCCCGGTTTAACAATTCCAAGATGGTTTTAGAGGAGTGTGGCTTACATTAGAAGTAGCAGGGACCCAAGTACAGAAAAGAGCTCTGACTTAACATGTTCCAATCAAAACCTGCGAAAATGGTGCAGAAGATTATTTTTCCTGTTAGGTATGTTCTAACCTACAGTATGTCATTTAGATAAAATCTTAAAAATGGCTCATTCTTCAGGTGAAATAAATGATATTTGTGAGTTCTTCCAGGGAAATGTAACAAGTTGGGGTCCCAGAAGAGCTTTTTGCTGGGACTTTCTTGTTGTAACAGCCATCAGAAATGCCATCATCTACAATGGCATTCAATTTAAGCTAAAAGCGTGCTTTTATTTGGATTTAGCTATTTTTGTGTAAGGTTGCTTTTGTACTTTGTGTGTTTTATACAGTATGTCACATTATGTACCATATACTTTAGAACAGTACTGTATTTAGAGCAATGTTGCTGATGAAGGGCATAAAATAATTGCAGAGGCAAAACCAATGGCATTTTGCTCAATATTCATGCTCTGCATCTTAAAGCATTCCTTTTAATTAGGTTTTTCCTGTAAAGCCTCTGGATTATTTTTTTTCAAATATCAAGACTGTTTGTACTCCTTCTAAACAATAAAAGCCATGCAGAGTTAATACTTGTTTCATAAGCAGATCATTCCTTTTGTTCTGAACTATTCAATACAAAAATTAAAAACAAAGATTAATTTTGGTTAATCACATGGAACAAAGCTTTTCTAATCACTTAAACAATTTGTCACGTAAGTCTAGAAAGGGATGGCGTGAACAAGAAATATGAAATAAGCACGCATAATTTAAAATCTTGCCCGTATTTTACTGCTGATTTATCTGCTTATTGCATGGTAAATCCTTTTTGAGATTTCCTAATTTAACCCTTGATGCATACTCATAAAATTCAAATTCAAATACTCTGCTGTCATGCTGTCAGGCTTTTCATTAAGCCAACACTTCTCAATTAAAACTTGTGTACAACACTTTGTATTACTTTTAGGCTACATTTTTTGGAATTCCTCCTAGTTTTACTCTGCTTTAAAAAAAATATTCGGCACCATGTTGCCGATTCAAACACAAAACGTATAAAGACTACTTCAGGTATAGTGTTTAAGGGTGCTACAAAATAAGTGCTCCAAAATTTGATCTCATAATTATGCTCACAAAGTATCACAAAGGCTCATGGCTCATTTTATAAACCAATTTAAGCTAAATCTCTATTAATTTTTACTTTAGGTGGCAAGAGGCAGCTAAACACATGGAACCTAATAGCCTAGTTAGAGGGAAAGTATCCACATTTAGTAATTCAAGGAAACTGTCCAGACAAAAGTCCTTAGAGCTTTAGTACTAATGGTCAAAGAGAAGCAGCACACTTGTCAGTTTCACAAGAGAGGGTATTTCTTTATCTTGTTTTAACCTGCACTGGTCATGTAATGGGTTTTAATCCTACCATTCAATCTTAATAGTTTTTGAATTGGTTACTTGATTTTTCTCAAATTACTAAACACATGAGGTTCACAAGCTGCTTTTAAACTGCACAACTGAAAATGGCAGACAAACAGTAAAAATATTACATATTGAGATTAGACATCTGGACCACAGCTACAGTATGTCTTATCATATAATACTTTTATATTAAAGAACATTTCTTTAATCTATTTTTAAAGAAGAACTACAATGTTTAAAAAAGATCAATATCCATTCAGTTACAGTTTTGACAGTTTAATATTAGCTATTAAAGACACTGTCAGTGCAAATTGGACATTAGAAAAAATGCTTTCATTAATCATTAAAACATGCAGTTTCATGATATGGTTACTGAATTAATAGGGTTAATTAAGTTGCATATAAACCATTTCTAGTTCCTTGAATCTAAAGACGAATCCAGCTAAACTGAACTCTACAGTGTTATGAGGACACTGAAGGAATTAAACAGAGTTAAACAAGTCTTAAATTCATTAATTATTATTTTATGTGTACACTTTATTTTTCCTTCTTTTTATGTCCACACAATTAAGAATCACCTTTAGTTTAAGACTTTCCTTTCCTGTACCAAACAGAGAGGTCCTAACCACCAGCTCACTCATTTAGCCAAAGCCATTTGTTTTTTTTCACACTGCAAGATCCACAGTACTGTACCTTACACATAAGGTGGCTCAGAGCCACAAACTGACACTTCACGGGACGCCTCACCTGGGAGATAACTACCAGGCCCCATAAGTCACGTGTGTGCTGAAGGCTGAGAGGACCCATACCAAACAACAGATACAGATCACAAAATAAAGATTACAGATTTAAGACACATATATTTGTTTAACAATGGATTGTTTTTTTAACAATTGTTCATGCTAATTTTAGTTTTTCACTATATGAAAAAACATAAAATACAAAATTGTACGTACATGTAGGACAGGAGTCCATACATTTAAAAGATAAGAAAGAAGAAGAGGTTAATTGAACAGGTTGTCAAGAAAAGAAAAGGCGTGATCATGCTGTTTAGAGACTCCAAGTTCTCCTATTTTAGCCTCTCACTAAACACTGAAGTTAGGCTGCATTTCAGTTTTTAAATAGTTGGGTTGGAAAAATAATGCTTTAATAAAGCGTATCAAGGGAACAGAGTAAAGCAATATTGGACAAGAAAAAAAAATCAACAGAGGATTAGAAAATTAAACACACCCTCAGCTGGAGAGAGAAACAGTGCTTTGGAGAGAGTTTTCCCATTATCATCAATTACTCCAGCAGTATTCTTAGTAAACCTTTTGAGATTTTTTTTTCTTGAGTCAGTCTAAATGTCAGCTGTGTATGACTGATCTGACTTTTGGTCACAAGATGTGGGTGTCTGAAAATGTACAGTATATAGAATACAGAAACTAAGTCTAATGACCCCGAACACAAAGTAATACAATTTTGTGGTTCTATTCATTCAAATAAACAAAAAAAAAGGCATTTTAACACTGCACCTTGACATGGGGTGTTATACAAAAGTAATTGTTTTCCATTTATATCTTATATACTGTATCTTTCTTTTGTACAATTTTGTTTTGTAATTGTTTTCCCTGTAAAGCTAATAATTTGTCAACTAATTACAAAAGTGCTAGTTTTTAGGTTGTCAAAGACCAATAGTATAAAGGAAAGTAGTGAGGTCTGTAAGATTAATAACAAATTTAAATTCAGCATTAAATGTTGAGTACTTACTGTACTCTAGAGCCTGAATGATGTTTTACTGAAATCTTGCAGTATTACAGTATATAAGCATATATATAGTATATATATTTTTAATATTACATTACAAAAAGTACAGAAATGTTACCAGGCTTTTTGTGAATAATACTGTAGTCAGAAAGTAACTGTTGAATAATCTGAATATGGGGTGACAGAAAAGGTCTTTATTATCGTATTTTAAGCCATGAAATATATAAAGTAAACTTAAAAGGACTACTGTATGTCAAGCTGACACCCACAAGGAGACTGAGTAATAAGCATTTTTCTTTTACAAAAGAATCTACGCTGTATTCAGGAACAAGCTACCGTTTCTAAGTTTACAATACAGTACTGTACATCAATCTTATTTATGAAACAAAGCGGTACAAGAATGTAATGCAGCGCCCACTTTATGCTTTCTCAGCGCTGTTCTTCTGTGGAAGGAACGTGTCTCAATATGTGCTCTTTATACCAGTAACTTCCACTCACCTTACGTAGAGAAGTTCATTATGGCATCCACAAGAGCTTTTTATGTAAATGGAGCTGATTTGAACAAAGGCATGTAAAAAATGCATCATAATTTATCTTGGACGACTCGAACTTTCCTTCATTAAAACTGCAACAAAACTGAAGTCATGCCTCATCATGCATGTTAAGACCAATGAAGTAAACCTTTCAGTGGATAGCACTGTACTTGAATTTCAATCTAAATTGAAGAATTTGGGGTGATATTTGAACCAGGATTGATGTTTGGCCCACATGTGCAAAATACTGTAAAAACGTAATTGTTTTATCTCAGAATGTCTGCCAGACAATGTTGCCTCGGAATTTACTGTAGCTGAAAATTTCGTCAACACTTTCATCTCCTCTAGAATTTACTACTGTTACTAAATCAACATGGAACAAACTTTAGTATGTCCAAGAATTTGCCAGCCAGAATCCTGACCAGGTCACATGGAATTGATCACATTTCTCCTGTCCTGGAGTCCTTGCACTGGCTTCCTAACACATTTTGTGTCAACTTCATGCTCACCTACAGTATAAGGCTCTAAATGGCTTGGCACCACAGTACCTGTCTGATTTATTATCTTCCTACAGTACTTCCCTACCTCAAAGTCTTTTGTCCGTCTCGTCTCCTGTTTGTCCCTCAAGCCTGGCCACACACAATGGTTGACAAGGCCTTCTCTTCCTATTCCCTTCCCTGAGCACTTTCAAATCCTGATTCCAAAACCTTCTTCAGAAAGTTTTTACTTAATTCATGGTTGTTACTGCCCATTCGCATCTCCTACAACATTCTAAACTCTTGTTTTTAACTGTGCTATCTCTTAATTAATTATAAAATTAAGTAATATTATTATTATTATCATTATTATTATGAATAATAATAATAATAATAATAATAATAGCTGTTGTTTACGCTGTTATTATTATTTATTGAGTTGAGTAAGTCCCTCAACATATACTGTAAGTAAACATGGCTGAAGAGATGAGCCTGAATGTAGTACAGCAATGGCTTTATTCAATATTTGCCTAAAAAAATACTGCAGTTAAAAGTAAAATCATGGTTCATTGAAAATAAATACTGCTTCTGTGACCAGAAACATAACTAACCTCCTGCATTATGAGTCACCTTTCCAGTCAAGCCACATTAAAGCAAATACCTCTTCCACGTCATCTTTAATGCAGAAATGCACTCGGTTGGTTTTATGCGATGTGCGTGGCTGTACATTTTGAATGTAGTGCTATAGTAGTGATGAGGTGACATGCAATCTGCAGTTACTAGTTTATTTCTCACCTCTGCAATGGTAATGCAGTCAGGATAAAGGGTGTGAAGGATGTAGTTGGACACCATGAGATACACCAGGGAATCTTCATCAATCTGGAGGCCGAAATACTCATTGTAGTCTCCTGAAAAGCCCGAACCTGCAGACAAGAAGAAAAAGGAATGGCAAATTTACCATTGGGCTTAAAGGGCTGTCCACTGTGGTGTGTAATTGTCCTTCTGTGTGTTTCTGCAGAGATGCTAGTAGTAGCACTCACCTCTACTGCTGTTTATAAAACATCGTGCCCTCACACACCTTTGTGCAGCACGGATGAAAAGATTTTTTATTTCCTTTTTGTCTTTGAAAGATCAGAATTGCATTATTCTTTGTTGATTGCACAGCAACGAGTGAACTGTGAAACTTATATTCAGCGTTAAAGCAAACTTTGTCAGAGTACACAGCATTTACTGTACCAATCTTTGTTTTATTTTAGTGATGTGGTTACCAGCTCCCTGTTTTTCCTCGTTTTAATTCTACTTGTGAATTTATATAGTCATCGTTTTTTATATGTCTGTTTATTTATGTCTTACGTCTTTAATCATTACAAATTAAATATTATGAGCAAAACTGGCTTGCACCATTTCAGTAGAAAAAAACTCAAATGTTTCACTTGTACTAAGTGAGTACTGAAAACAAAACTTTAAGAAATACAATTTAGTCTTCCACACAGTTTCAGAAACTCTCCCTTAATTTTATGTATATTCAAACCACTGCATGGTATTCAAACCATGTATGCATTTTTTATCTTTCTACTCAACAGCTTTTGGATTTTTCACCAGCAACAATCCAATACTGGGAAAATCCGTCCATTACTCTCTGAAAAATCCTTGTAACATTATGCGAACTGCACACACAGACGCCATTCGTCTAATAATTCAGATAGTTTCTAGAAAGGTTTGCAAGAGCTTGCAATATTCATCACAAGCTAAATCTTTAATGGAGCGTGGTTAACCATTTCCCTCCAGTAATTCCGCAAAGAACATGGTATAATACAGTACATACTGTATACTTCCATTTCAAATGATATTAAATATTTCCAACACAACAGTAATGGAATGAAGAAATAGTTTTTAGTGTATATATTATTCATGTTTACAACAATGTAATTATGACTACAGAATATCCAGGTCCCAGTTTTTTTTGTCTCCTATTACTAATTTGGGTAAAGACATGTGTCTTTATGGAATTTTTAATCAATGAAAATCATGTCCCCCAGTAGAAGTCTGAAAGGGCTTGAAGGGAACTTTGTAATTGAAAAGTCTGCTATATTATAAAAAAATAAATTAAGAAAAAAATGCATTTTCCTGGATTGTGTCACCTAGTGTATGAATTGCAGAGCTCTAGGCATGACTCGGTTTTAGAGTGAGGTAAGGTTAGGAAAGGCTTTCTTTTATGTATAGATTTAGTTATTTTTAAATAATACAACTATTTCTGTGTAGACATTTTACCGAAAGACTCTTCATTTTACTGCAGGTAAGAAGCATTATGCATTGCACTAGTCTGTGCTGCTATGACACAAAAAGGACAAATTAAGACAACAATTGTGGCAAAGAAAGTAAATGACATGTCAAGATAAGTTGGTGAAAATAAATAATACTTATTTCTACAAAGAGTGTGAATACTTCTCTCATAAACTGGTTCAAATGGAACTTGCTAACCTTCTAGCATCTTGATCAATGCTTAGTCTAGATTTTAGTCTAGGTCTTTGTCTGCATAGTTGTGTCATAGTAAGGGAGATGAATACTTATGCAATCATTTATTTTACATTTTATATTTTATATTTCTATATATTTTATATAATTAATGTAAAAGTATCTGTATATTTTCTCACTTTGACAGCACAGAGTATTTTATTAGCTCAGGTGGGTAGTTGCATCAGCATGTGTAGACTGCAAAGGAACAAGTAATAGGTTAATTTCATGCTGAAAAAAAAGAAGGAAGAAAACACAACGTTTCATCCGTGGAGCCTTCTTCAGCCTTCTTTTTTTTTTAGCATGGAATAAACCTATTACTTGTTCCTTTAGAGTATTTTATGTCAATCCATTGCAGAAAAATATACAGTAAATACACTGTGATCCACAGTATAATAGTAAACATAGTAAAATGTGGAAAAAGTCCAAGGGGGTGAATACTTTTGATAGCAACTGTACAGGATACAATGTATATTTGCTAGTGTATCAGCTAATCTTTAAAATAACCCAAGATATATAAAAAAAAAACCTACTGTCCCTTTTCTTACAATATAATGAATTAGTCTTAGTAACTTGCACCAGATTCAACAATGACATTAAAAACAACTTGTAAGCAGAAGTTCACATTCCTTCTCTTGTTAATTATTTAGCTTGTTCATTATTTGGATTTAATTATCCTGCAGCTAGAATCACACCTTCCCCCTTCTCTTAACGACAGACTACTTATCTTCTAAATTCTCTCTATTCATTGTAGGTTTCATTTCACACCTCTTTTCACCTATCCTGACTTCACACCTCCTGATTGGTCTCTCTTTCTGTCCCCTGCTCCCGCCTCCTGCTCCTCCTCTCTCCCAGCTTTCATTCTCCTTCTACATTACCTTTGCTTACTGCCCTGTCTTTCTCACACCTGAAGGCGGCTCCACGGCCGAAACATTGTGTTTTCTTTCTTCTCTTTTCAGCATGGAATAAACCTATTACTTGTTCCTAATATTTATATGCACATCCTAGTGTACATCCTAAACTCACAGAGACTCTCCTAGTTTTTGTGCCTCATAATTACAGTACCTCATAATTTACCGATGCACCAGTATATTTATTAAATAATTATTATGTATTAATTGACCAGTTCTTGCGTACCATAAGATATTATCTACAGAATATGTTTCTGACTGCAATAATTTCTATATTTCTAATATTCATTTATTGTTTTTACTGTAAACGTACAAAAGCATAAAATAGTTATGAAATGTGCTGAAACAAATCATTTAAGCTGTGCACAATAAATGTCCTTTTTCATTTCATTTACTTCTATACTGTGGTTCAACCTGTTCTAAAAATCTCTATATATGCTTTTATACTGCACATATATCTTATATATTATAGTATATCCTACATATAATTCTTATTTTTATACCTGGCAAACAGAATTCAAACATGAATGTCAATCTCTGATCTGCAATGTTGCTGTGCAGACATCCTATCAAATTGAATGCCTGAGAAATTTACAGAAGAGACTAGACATGAACACAGTGTTTACCAATGCCATGGTGATGATAGAGCATGGAAGTCACACCATCAAATCTAAAGCCATCAAATTTGTACTCCTCCATCCACCAGCGCAGGTTTGACAGCAGAAACCTCAGGACTTCCCAGCTAAAAGAAACAAAGGAATAAAAAAACAGTGTAAAATGAAGACAAACTCCCAAAAACACAAACACTAGCAAATAATTTGTTGTTAAAAGCTCCAAACATAATTCTACCTGCTCCAGACAACTCTAAGAGGTTTCTTTGAACAAACAGAACCAAGGCCATGTTAATAAGCAGTAGGATACATTAATAAGGCATTTTTGTCAATCAGTTAGCCCTTAAAATTGTCTGTTACACTTTCCAATGAAGCAAAGTATATAAACTGTATATTATTATTTGTATATAGAACTAAACAATAAAGTATACAAAAAGAGGAAAAAGATTGAAAAATCAGAGCAGAACAGGGGGATTCAATATACTGTATGCTGCATATTTGTTATAAAACATTACTATATTTTACTATTGTGTTGACAATTTTATCTCAGCTTCAAAACAAGAACATTAAAAATGTATTTTACCGATCTTGGAATAATTATTTTCCTAGAGAAAAATGTCTCATTTTGTTTGCAAAAATAACTAACTTTTAAAATTACACCAGTGGGGTTACATACTGTATCTGTCTTATTTAACCATTGCCTTCATCTGCATTCTAAAAAGATAAAGAATACTACAGGAAGTACCAGAATAGTTTTGGCATGTTGCCTCATTTTTGGTAAGGTTTTCTCAACTCAGAAGAAACAAAAAACATTGTACAGTTACACAACAACAAAAATACAATTATCAGGTTGTGCTTCATGGTCAAAATCACTGAACTGAGCATTATCTTGACGTACTTACAGTGTGTGTGCAAAGGAGTTGATATCCTCAATTCATAAGAATTATAAAATGACAACAGTGCGGTCACCTTAATAATATCTAGTTAGACAGGTATAATTATTTGGTATTGGATAATTGCATTAATTACTTGGAGAGGTCCCAGCAATATTATACTATTATTGGCATGCAAGCTTCCAGAAAGTTTGCGTCAGAGCTGTGTTGTATGGGCATAAAGAGGTAGGGATCGAGGGGACAAGAATAATTTATTCTTGTCTTGACTGATAACCAAAAAGGGGAAACAAAACTGCCACTACTAGCTTGCCTTCTTTCCTGCTTCCATTTTATGATCCATACATAGTGATAAGGAAACTATTTAGCCTTCACAAGGATGATGGATGGAAATAGACTTACAGTATCACTGAAAAATGTCAAAGGTGACTAGCCACTGTCAAAGTCCAGCAAAGTGATGTGAAAGGTGCTCATACTGGCCTAGAAAACAGACCTTTAAGAAAATTTCATTTGTTCCTGAAATAAAATAATCAATAGCTTTTGGAGATTTTTCCTCTGGGACACAAATACACTTTCTTTGTTAGCCTTTCTCCAGTAAGGGTGCTGCAATGTTCCACATTTCCATGGAAATGTCCAAACAATTATAGGGACAAATACAAAGTCATACATGTTTTAAACATCCTAAATATTTATATTTTACAATTTAAAACAAAACATCTCAGTATCTTGTTTGTTTTTAAAAAATAACCATTTGATTACAAATGTGTCCATAGTAAGGTTGAAGAAATCTAAGGTGAACTTCAAGTTGAATTAACTTGACAGTTCCTAAAACCCCTTGATTTTCTCAACATTTTAATTCAACATGTAGTTTCAAAGGGACAGTGTATAAATAAAGATCAGGATGCTATATTTAAATTCAAAATAGTTTAGTGCATAAGACCCTGCCTCCACTAAACAACAAAAAAAAATGTATTGTTAAAAAATCAAACTCATCTGGTTCCTGTGTTTGGGATCATCTCCGAGACATCCTCATCAGGGATTTTGCTTTCTTTTGAAAACACTAGGAAGCCCTATTTGGTTTGACACAGTTCTGAGCACTACTCAAGAAAACAAACACCACAGAGGGGAATTGACCAAGACAACTGTCTTCAGGTTACAGTTAGATCAATGGTCTGCTGTTCACTTTCCTTGGCCTTGCCTTCTGTCCACAAATGAAAAGGAATAGATCTTGGCAAGCCTACTTTAGAACACAAGCAAAACCAGTGAATCTACCTCACTGGTCCTGACAAACTATTGTACTATTGTTTCTCAGTTTATTGTACCAACATTACAGGAACAGTACAACTCTTAAGAACCTTAATATAGATTCTATTGATTTCCAATTTCAGGTTTGGTTAATAGAGTACCTCTCGCTGAATGAAATGCTATAGGTAC